CTCTTAACAGTTGGGTTTAAAGGATCCTCCTGCCTCAGCTTCTCCAGTAGCTGGGATATGGGTGCTCACCATCACACCTAGCTAAATTTCTTTTTTTCTTTTTGATGCCAATCATCTAATCCAGGGCCTCAGGACAATCTACCACTGAGTTATACTGCCATCCTGATCATACATTTTATAAGCCAAGAGTTCATATTTTTGTAGAACAACATACATGCATTTTGTAAAATTCTATCAACTTTCATGCGGGAGGAGTTCTATAGTAGAGCACCTAACTAGCATAGAGAAGGCCAATTCCTAGGATTCCCAAGACTATAGCCTCTAAAATAATCTTTTTTTTTTTAATTTTATTTATTTATTTATATGTGTGTGTGTGTGTGTATATATGGCCAGCTCAGCCCACCAGGGGGTGGGGCTGGCTGGCATGTGGTGCTGGGAGATTGAACCGCAGTCCCTGTGCTCTGCCAAGCTTGCTCTAAGTAGGTGCTCTTAGACCACTGAGCCATCTCACCAGCCCTAAAATAATCTTTCTAAGGGGCCAGATAACTCAGTGGATTAAAGTGTCTGCTTAGGTGCGCTGAGAGGGCAATTGAGACCTGATGTCGTGGTGCACACCTGTAATCCCAGCACTTGAGAGGCTGGAAACAGGAGAATCACTATGAGTCCAATCTGTGTAGTGAGATCCTGTAAACCCTGTAGACCCTGTGCTAAATACATAAAAAACATAAAGATGGAAAAAAAAAATAATCTTTCTATATGAAGATTTTCTGAAAAAAAAAAAAAAAAGATTTTCTGGAGGTAAAAATTCTAAATAAATGAATGACAATTCAAATTCAAAAAAATAAACTTTAAAGAAAATGCTAACAACTTTTCTAATCAAGTACAAAGAATAAAGATCTTCAGTCTGGCAGATGTTAAACTGAAATTTGCATAAAATATATTTGGGGTTCATTTCAGTATCGGTCTAATTTTAATACATGTGAAATGAGACTAGAAAATTTTGATAGTTTTCATAAATATTTAGATAAAAAAAGAAAACTCATCTCCTTTAGACAGCTCAGGGTGAGACTGTTCATAATCCTTACCATCCCTCTCCTCCCGAGTATTTCTGTCAGGACTGAATATATCATACTCTTGGCAGTTCCCTTGCTTGCTTTCTCCCCATTCTGAGTTTGAATTTTCTGCTCCACTGAATTCACCTCCAAACTATGAAAAATAAGTTTTCTCACTACTTAATAAATGTGTGTGATGTGGTATCCCTCAGATGATATATGCTCTTATAATGGGCCTTTGGCTCGCTCAGGGTCAGGCTAGAAATGGACTTTCTTAAACGTGATTGCTGAAAGCCTGGCAATTCACATCATAATCTTCATTTTAAGAAATAAAAAAGGAAAATGGTCAAAGATCCTCTCAAGGAAAAAGGCTCCTCCATGCTGGTCAGCTGTTCCTCTTCAAGGTTTGAAACGGCTGGCCTGTTTAAAGGTTCTCTCAAAGCCTATCTTTCTATCAGAAATGAGGTCCTATCACAAGTAAGCAGGTAATCATAAATTACCATAAAATACAATTTCTCTACATTTTAAAAGACTGGCCCATACAATGAAGTGCAAAAAATCCTTAAGGCCTTACTATTGGGTGTACAAAACAACCGCAGACCCAAAAGACAGAAGGGTTTTAAACACTAAATTCCCTGTAATCTCTTAAATTTCAAGTTTAGTCGTAGAGTGGGACATGAGTTTTTAACCTAGAGCAAACAGTCCTCTTTTATTTACATCTGCCAAAGCGCAACTTGGTTAAGACCGGAATTTACGCTTCCAGATTTTCATATAATGTGCCTGATACAAAAGTGCTCTTTCTGCATTTCTGCAGAAACTGAAAAATGGAAAGTGAGCTCCCAGAACGCCATCGCGCGCCCAGCCAAATCCTCGGTAAATGTTAGTTGATTAAATATTAGTCAAAGATGACAAGGTGGGCACGGGGGACAGCAGAACCATTCCCGACCGGCAATGTGATTCGGCTACAAGCAGAGAGCGCACAGTCCGCCGAGAGCGGTCGTCAGGCACAGGGACCGGGAGCCCCACCGCGGCGCGCTTTGGGGCCCCGAGGAGCGGGACAATGCCCGCCCGGCTCTGGAGAGCCCCGCGGCCGAGCCAACGTGGGGACGTTCTATGGCCACGAAAGCTCGCCGCAGGAACCGACGCGGGGCCCCACTCCAGGCAGCCCTACGGGTGTTCCACCACGTGTGCGCCGCGCCGCCGCCAGCTGACTCAACGAGCCCCGGGCGGCGGCCGAGACGGCCGCGCCGGCTCGTGTACCCAGCCAGCACGCGCACGCGGGAAAGCACCGCCCCGCTTGCCCTCTGGTCCGCGATGATTGGCGCTTGGGCGACGGGGGTGTGCAAGAGCAGGGTTGCTATTGGCGAACACGACCAGTCACTCAACGAGACAAGGAGGGGAGGGGCCTCCTCAGGGAGGAACACGACAGCGAGGCTTTTTCAAGGCCGTTAGACGCCATCTTTGGCTTGTTTTTTGTTTACTCGCTTTTGTCCTCTGCTGTTCACAAAGCTTTGTGTACATGATTACAAATACGGTGGCCTCAGGTCGGTTTCATACAATCTGGTGGTGGTTGATTTTTACTGCCTGCCGGCCTTGGTTTCAGGTAACGCTTGCAAAAGCAGTTCCTCTTAGCTCTAAATTTTCATTTCTAGGGGACCTCGGATTCCCAGAAGAAAAAAATTACTGAGCTCAGATTTGCTTTTCTTTTCTCAGAAAGCCAAGCCAACTCACGAGGAAGTCTCTTTCTCACAAAGAAACTAAAAGCGAGGACACTGTATACGAGCTTAGGTCCCAAGACGTGGAAACTGAACAGCCTAGGAAGTGGAGCTGTGTACCACTCCCTTCAGCGTAGCTACGTGTATGTGGTAATCTGTGTAGTAAGGCGTACAGTCAGAGCAGAACCCCATAAAAATACCCATCACTGCTGAGGTAACCAAAGTCAACAGCATCTGAGTAGTTTTGGAAAGCTGTGCAGGTCTAAACTTGTGGAATGATCCACTTTCGAGCCAGTATTTATTAAACACTGATGACTCGAATTTTTAGGAGATAAAAATACTTAGTAGAAGTTGGAAACCCGAAAAGCCCACACAGATTCATTTCTCTTATCATGAATTGAAGAACTTTTAGACATAATTTTATTGCAGTTGTTACTTAGATGTCTTAGTACTGCTTGAAATGGAGTAGGACATGGCTGAGGGGTGGGACTACATGATTATCATCATACTGAGGTTTGTAGTTAAATTTGAACCCTAGAGTAGATCCCTATTTAATCACTTGGGTTATTACTAAACCTGCAACACTCTAGTTTCTCCCTTTTCACCCCTACATACTTCTGTGCTTTCATTCCAACCTGAAAATATAGACAGGAATATGGATATTGTCTGCATGACTACGAGGTGACAGTGGTCCTGTAATGCAGAAGTGACACTAGGTCTTCTCCAGCTGCAGGCTCTGCTTTGAGCCTGTTGGCCTCTAGTTCACTTTTAACTGAGTCTTAGACCAAGGGAGGATTTTCCACAACTGCAGCATAATTCTGCAAGAGGACTTACTAAATCGGAACCTGTGTCATGCCTGTGTGCATGCCCAATTAAACACTGGAAATTTTTTAAAAAACCAACATGATAACAAATTGCATTTTTTATCCCTATTATTTGCCTTTGCCTCCTCTTGGCCCCCATCAACACCACTGTGAACAGTTTTAAGAATGCGCTTAGAACTCAGTTTTTCCTGATACTTTACCAGCTGTGGAGCTTTTCAAACAAATCCTAACCAAATGATTGAAACGATCATTTTGTCAAAAAGCCAAGAGACCTTCCCTTCGGACCACACCAACCAAACCACACATAAAGGCCAAAATATACACAGCTGTACATTTAAGAACGTGAGACAATAAAAGCAAAACCACTTAGGCAAAACAATCACTAAAGGCGGCTTTGAACCACAGATTCAGTACATTGCCTACCCTCATTTACAACATAGACTATACACTCTCTGGCAATTATTTAATTATTCACTAATCCGATCCTTTAAAAGAGTAGGAAAATACTGTAAATGCAAATAAAATGAAAATAAGTAGGCTTAAATTTAGGATTTCCTCTTAGCTTTACTTTGCTCATGAAATCTTGTTTTGGTCACATTTGGGAGCACAACAGAAAAAGTTCACATTCTAACGTCTATTTTGCACACATAAAACCAAAGGCAATCACTTTTGAAAATAAAATTTGATATGGTACATATACACATATTGTACATATAATACACAAATAAACCCCAAGATATTTTATGAAATCATTTGCTTTAACACACACACATACACACACACATACACATACATAAATGTCCTCATGAAAATGTGTGTGCAAGACACACAGTCCTCTCCCTGGGGAAATCAGTGTCCAATTATCCCAATATTTTAAATCTACTGGCCTTGGGCAACTGCCACAACCAAGCCCCTTGTTTTTGGTTCTGGGGAAGGGTGTGTAAAACGAACGCCAAAGGGCTTTCTGAGGGAGCCTCAAATCTTTCTGCTTCCTGAGATGATGCCCGTGGCAGGAATTTACATTAATTCCCTTCAGCCCCCTTAAAAAAAAAAAAAAAGAAAAAGAAATCTATACTTCCCAAGCGGCTAAAATTTTAAATCCCTCAACCACAAAAATTTACCAGTTCTTAAACGTGATAGCAAAAAGGAAAAAAAAAAAAACAAACAAAAACTATAAATTTGGCTGGAAGCAGTTGTACACGGCCATCCCGCTTCTCAACTTCTTGGTATATTTAAAACCTTGATCAGGAAAAAGAAAGAGGAAGAGAGACAGGAAAAGGAATGGGGAAAGAGAAAATTCCCCTTAGCAACAGTTTCCTCACCCAAGCACTGCCACAGATCTCTACTTTTAAAAAATTTGAAAACACACACAAGATTAAGGAGGGGGGAAAAAAATGGAAAAAGGATACCCGAAGGTCGTATGGCTCTTTGTATTCGTGTGTGTGCAAAAAGGAGGACTCGCGGAGCCCGAGCCGGCAAGCCCCGCCCCTCCCCGGACGCCCGACCCGATTGGTCGCCGCCAGCTGCCGGGCGCCCCGCCCGCGAGCACACGCGCCGCGCCCGAGGAGCCGGCTGGGGGGA